ACAGACACACAGCGAGCGAGAGAGAGAGAGAGAGAGAGAGAGAGAGAGCGAGAGAGAGAGAGAGAGAGAGACCATGGCTGTTTAACACACACCCCTAGAAAAGTTCAGCTGTCAGCTTGCGATCCACACACACACACACACACACACACCTGCAGAGAGCCATGTGATTATCCAGGTGATGACATTAATCTAAGACAGCTATCAGCATCCTGCCCTTCTGTAACCATGGCAACCGCATCCCCGGGGAAATCAAGCAAGCCCACATCATCTCCATACACTCAGATGACACACACGCCAATCTGCGTCAACACACACCGCTGCTGAGCTAAAGCGCTTCTGACTGCTACATCGACTCACTGACCCTGACAAACAGGCACAGGTGAACAACTCATTATCACGACACACACAAGAAAAGCCACAGTCCTTGAGCGCGCGCGTGTGTGTGCAATGAGTGTCCAATGAGTAACATTTTTACCTGCTGGATGATTAAAGATATCAAAAATTTCCCTTACTGCTCTTATGTGTGATGAGATGCATAAGGAGAAATCCAGATGGACAATGAAGAGGGACTACTCAGCAGTTTTACTGAACACTACACAATGTAAAACACATGACGATTTCAAAATAATAATTAAAAAAATTAAAATAAAATACAAAATAAAAACGATATAAAAAAATAGCTGCAAGCAGCAATGACGGGCCGGCAGCTCCACCACCCCGGTGGCATCAGGAAAACAGTGCACAGCGGGCACATGCATTTCCAGTAACCTTCTGGCAGTCTGGGTTTAAGGATCACAGCAATGAAAAGGTTACACTTTAACATCAAGAGTGTGAAACACACACACACAAACAAAGGGACCATACATAAAACTTTGGTTACACTTTACAATAAGGCTTCATTTGTTAACATTAACTATATTAGTAAACATGAACAATATTTATATAGCATTTATTAATCTTAGTTAATATTAAGTTTAAGTTATACTAATACATTATTAATTAAAATTTAAAGTTGTATCTGTTAACATTAGTTAAGGTACCATGAACTAAAATGAACATGAACATTTTTATTAACTAACATTAACAGATATTAATAAATGCTGGAAAAATATTTTGCCTCCCCAATGTCTTGAAGTCATGTTGACCGAGTTTGGTGGCAGAGATTGGATGAAAACCCTAGGAGGAGTGTCGCAAATTCAACAGCATGCGCTTTCACAAAACCCTAAATAGACGACTTCCTGTTGGGCGGAGCGCTGATTGTCAGCACAAAAGTTGTTCGGCCTGATGAGATATTGAGATATTGAGACATATATATATATATATAAGCATTCCGGATAGGGGTGGGAAGATCGTTCCACCAGCCAGGAGTGGTGAACGAGAATGTTCTGGAAAGTGATTTTGAGCCTCTCTGTGATGGTACCACGAGGCGTCGCTCACTAGCGGATCTCAGACTTCTGAAGGGGATGTAGATTCGTAGTAGTGAGTGGAAGTAGGCGGGTGCTGAGTCTGTGGCTGTTCTATATGCAAGCATCAATGTCTTGAACTTGATTCGAGCCGCAACCGGTAGCCAGTGCAAGGAGATAAAGAGAGGTGTAACATGGGCTCTTTTGGGCTCGTTGAAGACCAGTCGTACCGCTGCAATTTTGGTCCAACATTTTTAGTTTCAGTGAAGAATTTAAGTGCATCAGTTTCTAGCAACCACCTAATACACCCTACAGTAATTGCATAGCAACCACTCAGAGCATTCTATAGAAACATGCTTCAAAACCACCCAGAACACTGCAGTAATCTCATAGCAAATGCATTAAAATCCATCTAGATTACCATAGCTCATTAAAAATCATCCAGAACCTCATCAGACCTAGCAACACATTAGCAACCACCCTGAATCATGATGACAATTACACGTCTGGCACTGCGCTTCTACAACTGAGGTATGCTAAGCCAAACTGCATGAGCATGTAATCAACAAAAGGCCATTTTCATTTCATCTCAACGGGGAACGAGGGATGAACGTGGAGGAAATGTGGGCGTTAGAGATGAGAAACACGCAGACAAAAAACAGGAACATATATTCCAGAGTGTCAGTGTGACCCACGTCATCCGATGCTTCATAAACCAACACAACATCTATCACGATAAAAACTATATTCTGTCTTCATAACATCTCACAAGCAATGACATACTGATACAAAAACACATTATCTTGGGTGTGCAAAAGGGACACAGGATTGAGCCTGGCCTTTCTCTGCCTGTGCTTTCCTGTCACTCCACTATCCTATTTAATAAAAGGGAAAAAACAACTAATATTTATTTAAACCACAAAATATGTAAATATAAAAAAAAAATCTAAAATTATTTTTGAATATATTTTCTAAATATTGTATAGTCAAATTTATTTTGTATTTACCTTATTTAATTTTTAATTACATGATATTTAAATTATAAAAATGTTACATTTCTATTTTTATTTCAATTATATTATTAATTATAATTATAGTTTTACTAATTATCTAAACACCTTTAATTATTTCACGTTTTTGTAAAATCTTTTGCTCAAATTAAAGTAATTCTCTAAAATAAATAAACTCTAATATTCTCTCATATAAATACATATCAAATGGCACATATTTAAAGGTCATTTCCAGCAAATTACTTTCACATTTTAAGGCATTTTAACCATTTTTATAAGGAAAAGGGGATTTAAATCATTTAATTTTTTCACGGTTACTGTAATGCAATACAATTTATGTAAATATGGGAAAGCAATAATTTTAAGGTAATAGACATTACATTTACCACAGACATTTTAACATGAGACTAGTGTGACAGAATCACTTACTTTCCTTTTGGTAAAAAAAAAAATAAAAAATAAAAAATTCAGGCAGCACAATTTTGCATTTAAACAGTGAATGAACCCTGTGCACTTCCACTGAAAGTGTGTTACTGTAAACACAGCCTGATGAAAGGGTCAGAGTTATTTTCTGTAGTAATTGACAAATGCTGTCGATAGAGATTAGCTCAATCTGATGCATTCCTTCAGCTGCTTCGCTCAAGGGCACAACTGAGTTTTTCCTCACCGGAATCGATCCAACAACCTTCTGGTTAGCCGTCCTGAGCCTCAACCACCAAACCAAATCACTCCAGCGTCTCTCAACAGGGCCATTCAGCACATAAACACACACACAACAAACTCACAGACAGGAAAGTCCCAGTTTGTGTCTTTACGTGTGATCGTTGAGCAACTCTTCAGCTGAAGTGGACGCCTCAAGCTTAAAACACATGAATTACAATGCTTTAATGTCCAAAAATTCTGCATAACTGTTTGCACTTAAAATGCAGACAATTTCAAATTTCAAATATTTAAATCAAACCAAGAATCTGTTACATTTTTCCAACTGCACAAAATCTCCATAAAGTCTCTGAATCCTGGGCGTCCAGTACAGCTGATCATAATACCAAACCCTTTTATGAACATTATGATATCCTCTAAACAATTTGCAACACAAACATCTTTTCACTGCCGTGTCACACAGAGAAAACGTTTCACTGTTCACCGGCTCTTCACATGCACATCAAGCCCTCAATCATCTCTATTAGCTGCAGTCGGATGATTGGTGATGTCTGCGGAACAAATGATGCGCTTTGATGATGTAATTTTACTCTACTGATGCATTAAGCGATGACAGAGCTGAATATAAATGTGTGGAATAGTGACTGCAGTACAAATCTTCACCCGATAACAATTAGTATTTGATTCTTTTAGAGGGGGAAATAAAAAAGTTTCACTTTTTATGAGTTGATCTCATTAAAAACGCAAAACTAAAGCCGTATATTTTATTCATATTGACTTTTAACGCAGGAAGAGTCAAATCGCTTGTGATTTAGGGCAAGTTCGGCATTATTAGCTCGCTTTTTTTCGCCAGTGTCACCAAGAATGCCATTACATCATAACGAGCAACCTTGAAATGACCCAAACAAAAGCCCTTGGCACAGAAATATTTTAGGCAATTAGTAAACCAATGGCAAGGTAATTTGCAGAGATACTAGATAATAAAACAAATGTGCCGTATGAAGTCCCTGTGCTTGCTAATAGCAGATGCTCGATTCATTAACATCCTGTAACTTGGAGGCGCTGAACTGATTAATAGGTTTTATGGTAATTAATTAGATGCACTGGGTTAATAAAACACAGAAGTGTGAGGGCAAATATTACTGGAAATGTCTCTCCCTCTACCAGGACGCAGCTGTCAATTGTCTGGTGCTACGCTGCCCACTGCTGGTTATGTGCGGTGCTGCAATATGTTAATGAGCTCAGTATTTATATATATATATATATATATGCAAATGAAAACAAAGCTGTGAGGGAAAGTTTGTTGTGTGGAAAACAACAGATTGTATTTTGTCATATGGAAAAAGTGCAATTGTTTCATACAAGAAAGGAATTCCTATGGGTTTGAAATGACATCAGGTAAGTATATGAAAACTGAATTCATGTAAGCTCTGAAAATTTTTTTAATCAATTGTTTTTATTGGGTAGAAAACAAACCATGGAGGAACAGCATTTGAAGAGAGTGTCAGTGAAACATTTTCAGCATGTTTGCAGCGTATTATTGTACAACTTTTTGTTCATGATTCAAAACGCAGTATGATAAAACGTGAATGGATACTGTACCTGGATCATGTGTAAAGAGTGTGTGAATATGATGTGAATAAGTGAAGATTAAAACGGGCCCAGAGAGGCAGCAGGCTGAGCACGTGGATGTCGCCCCCTAGTGACTGGGAGCTGAATTACTGCCATCCATCTCATACAACAAACAGCAAAGACAGAGAAGCTAATCGCTCGATTGTGTAATCGCCTACTTTCAATTGCGCATGCTTCCAGTGTGCGGTACAGAGCCCTTAAAGGGACATGGAGATGGAAAAAATGGGATGGGATATATTTCAATGCACGTGCTTTTGATTTTTGCTAAATTTATCAGAGGAACGTAAAAATTTTGCGAGAATGCAAAGTTTCTCTGGGGAACGCAAACATTTGCGAGAGAAAGTTTTGCATGTGAATGCAATGTTTCTCTCACAAAAGTATTTTTTCAAAAGTAAGTGTTCCCCCAAGAAACTTTGTTCGCTTGCAAAAGCGCTGAAACCGTTTCTCCTCCCACCTCATTATTCATCGCAAACATTTTATGAGCACACAATTTTTTTTTAGATAACGCAAGTTGTTACAAGAGAATGTAAAAGTTTTGCAAAGCAAATGCAAAGTTTCATGGGGAACGCTAGATTTTTGTGAAAGAATGCGAAGTTTCTTGGGCAACAAACGTTTTGCGATTGAACGCACAACCATTGAAATATAACACAATGTTTCTTGAGAGCACACAAAAGTTTTGCAAACGAACGCAACGTTTCTTGGGGGAACGCAAAAGTTTTGCAGGCAAACACAAAAGCATTCAAATATTTTTCCTCCCGTCTCTTTTTTTTTTCCATCATCATGTCCCTTTAGGGACTCCGTAATACGGCCATTTGTTCGCAGAAAAAAAACACCATCACAAACAGCACAATAAGCATGGTAAAAGCAAATACAAAACGGGGTTAGGTTGAAATTGAAACAGATGCTCGCAAGGCTCAGTGCATGCAATCAACATTACCATCAATGAAACGAAAGAAAACGACAAAACCCTCCTCCAGCATGCACCCTTTCCTGCCCAATCAGAATTAGCCCAAACCAGATGTCCACGCCCACCCCGCATCGCCAAGACAACGCCCCGCCCTGAATGCCCAAGCCCCACCCACCGACTCTGCATACAGAAAAGGAAAAGCAGGGATATCAATCGGTTTTTGAGTTTTGAGGTGACCAAAAATGCTCTACCTGCGCACCGCATGCTCGGACACACTGATGCTTCGGGAGCGGAAGGTGTCCATGGCCGACAGATCTTTCAGGTCTTTAATGGGAGAGTTTGCACTGGGGCCTTGCTTTGCCACTTTGGTTGTCCGCAAACTGCCCCGAGGGCAAACGAGGTCAGGTGTGCACCAGCATAACGTCGTGACCAGGGAGGGTTGGGGGGAATTTGGGGCATTTTAACCATGTCGGCATGGGTGGATGGGGGAGTGCGATTGGTTGTGGAGTGTCACGAAAGGGGCCAGCGACCAATCACAGGTGACAGACCCGAGGTGTCGGCACCCCCCCAAACCACACCCACCACGCATGGCCCAATCAGAGCAGGGGGGAGGGGTCAAATAAGGAAGTGAAAGGAAAACAAAGTAACTTGGTCAGCAGTGCACACTGAGAACCAGAAAACATGGACGACACTTAAAAACAAAAAATAAAGGAGGAAACAGAAAACTGGAAGGAGAAACAGCATAAAAAAGATCAAAAGACACATAAGGCATAAAGTAAGCAATATACTGTCAGCACTCTACGAAAGGAAGTGAAAGAGGAGAAAATAAATTAAAAACTCATCAGAGTACAAACATACTGGTACAGGGAAGAAAAAAAGCATTCAGACACTGCTATGATCATTATACTGGAAATTAATAGCAATAGGAAAAGAGTGATATGATCATGTGTATGTGTGTGATTTAATACAGCAAATAAAACACAAATGAATGACCGGATGGGGTGAAACTAGAAACTGGAACAGAGAATGCAAGGCCTGGAAAACTAGAGAGAAAAAATAATGAAAATCTAAATATGAACCCTGTTTACATGCACATCAGATTAAGATTGGTTTTCTGGTGAAGGGGCCGTTTACACGACAATGTTTTCAGCCAAAAACGGGAAACTTTTTATGCGTTTTGCCTGTTTTTATACAGTCTATGGTTTTGCCTGTTCGTTTACACGACAACGGCGTTTTGGGTACTGAAAACGCATATTTTTGAAAACGGGTTTCAAAAGTGCGAGTTTTTGAAAACGGCACCGTTATCATTTCCGTGTAAACACCCAAAACAGGAATCTTTGAAAACGGTGACGCCATGCGCGTGCGTAGTACGTGTTAGGTATGTAGACATGCGCAGTACGTGTCGATTTTAAAGGCAAGCGTGAACAAACATACACAACAATGGCGGAGTACATGGTACTGTTGTTGCTGCTCAAGAGTTTGCTAACGCTTCTTCAGCAAAGTGTGGCTTTACTTCGCCAATGTTACAACCAACAGCGGAGATGCATCATATACAACATATAATCGTCACTTCCCTACAGGTACTGTTTACTAACAAGGTGACAACGCCAACTACTGGCCTGGCATACGTAATACAGCGCTTTTGGACGTTTTCGCGGATATGTGTAAACGCGAATCGTTTTGAAAATGTTGTCGTCTATATGTGAAACTTTTTAAAAACGCAAGGGAAAAACTTTTCCGTTTTTGACCACATCGTTGTCGTGTAAACGTAGCCGAAGACTTGATCCTGAAATGAACATTTACTTGCCAGCCTCTGACCTAAAATATTTACTATGTTAATAATTTAACAGCACATTTGCATTTTCAGTCTTCTGATTTTGGTTAATGGTCACATGGCATACAGGTAAACAAATAAAATATTTAATCTTTTTTGTGTTTTATTATGATTGTTCTATTTAAAATTTATTTTTATTGGAAATTATGCCATTACTATTTTTTTACCAACCTGTGAACCCCAGTACTTCCATAATCAGTCAATTCTGAAACGGCAATAATTTAAATAATTTTGTACAGTAATTTTTTCTACTCTTGAATGATCCTCATTCATGTTATTAACAAAACATAGAGAGTCTAAATTTGGGTTACACTTTATTTTGATAGTCCACTTTAGACATTCTACTAACTATCATGTGAACTACATGTCAACTAATTCTCATTAATTTGCAGCTACATGTCTACTAACTCTCAGAGTAGACTGTTAGGGTAGGTTTAGGGTTAGTAGAATAAGTTGACATATACTTGCAAAGTGTCTCATAGTCAGTATGTTGTATGTTGTGGACCCATCAAAATAAAGCGTTAGAAGATATTTAGCAGACAGTTTACTGATACTCTAATGACTGCTAGTTACTGCAAAGTTACTTACTGTTAGTAGAATGTCTAAAGTGGACTATCGAAATAAAGTGTTACCTAAATTTGATTTGTATGACAAAATTCTCATAAACATCTGAATATTCTTGTGCATGTAAATGGTTGATCTTTCTCTTTTTCAGGCTTTCAAAAAGCTCCAGCTCCAGACTTACAAAAGAACACTGATGGTTTCCACAGAAAATGAACCTGAAACCAGTTTTAGGACAATGAGATTAGATGGCTTTGTTGATCATGGACTGTATTAGTGATATGCCTGGAAAAACATCCTTGGTGTTACAATAATTGCACCAGGTGTGCTGGTTAAAATGGTTTAGTAAGTTGTTACCATGGAAATTTCAAGTAAACTGATTTATAGGACAGTGGTCAATTTCACACCAAATACAAAAAGTGAAATCAAGAAAAGCGAAAACAGAGAATGAATGAAATAGAAAAGAATGCTTATTGTAAGAAATAAAGGGGAACTAATAAGGAATAGGAAAAAAAAGACTTGCTTCAGTTCAAATCCAGATGTTAGTAGGCAGGACTGTTACCTCTAGTTTTTTGGTCCCTTTGTTAAACATCATATGACTAGTTATTTCAACTATTACAGGATGGGACACTGGCTCATTATTAAATATCAACACAAGTTTTTAGAGATGTGTGTACTGTTTGTATTCAGGTGTTTTTTCAACTATGGGAATTTTTAGTCCTTTTCGAAATTAAACTCCATTAAAACACACGTTTTATACTCGTTAATTTAATTTGTCCACTAATAATTCTAATGTTTAACAGTTGATAAACACACTGCTTTCATGAACCCTCACAAAAAGTTCCACCACAGCGTCATTTCATCACATCTCAAATCATAATTTATCATAATTCTGTGGTGGAAATTAGCCATTTTTTTTACATATATATTTTGGAATAAAACCAAGAAAAGACCAAAAAAATATAGCAAGCATTTTAAGCATCCTTAACATTTTTAGACCGTCAAAATTACAGTTTTATCGAAAATGCACAAAAAAATGTTTTAAAATATTAAAAATATATATTTATAAATATACTGCATTTTGCAAAATCCATAGCTTTCCCAAAATCAATAAATACACACAAATACACACACAAAATAAATATTAAAATATCTTCAAAGTTTGAAACATGCAATAATCTTTTTTAATATTTTTTTTTTTTTCATTTTAAAATTAAAAACATAAAACCATAAAAGGCATTTGAAAAGTATCAAAACTAAGTCTTGCTAAAAAAAATCTCCAGTTATAAGGTCACCTTCATATAGCAAAAAAGAGAAAAGTCAAAATCTATTAGTCTGAATAAAAATCAATCACTGGGACATAAATTGTCCTTAGTTGAAGAAACAGTCTTCCATAAATGAACGTGTTAATGCTTTCGATGTGACAGTCTGCCTGTGAGAAACAATCACCACTGAGACTGAGACTGAGATGATGAGAGAAAGAGAGAAACAGAGAGAAATAAATGAGACCGATAAGATGAGGAAAGCAAAAGAGACGTCCCACAGTCAAACTAGCATCCGTGAGTGGATGTGAAAACTCAGCTGATGTTCTGACATAATCAGACAGATAAAGCCAGAAATCACGACACTGCCATCAACAACAACAAAAAATGAACCAATGAGGCGCCTGAATGACAATCATGTTTTGAGTCCTTCCCACGGCAAAACCTAACATGAGACAAACAATGATCCGGCCCTGCGTGAGTGTGAGTGTGAGTGTGTGTGTGTGAGAGTGTGTGTGTGAGAGAGAGAGTGTGTGAGAGAGAGTGTGAGAGAGAGTGTGTGTGTGTGAGAGAGTGTGTGAGAGAGAGTGTGAGAGAGAGTGTGTGTGTGTGAGAGAGTGTGTGAGAGAGAGTGTGAGAGAGAGTGTGTGTGTGTGAGAGAGTGTGTGAGAGAGAGTGTGAGAGAGAGTGTGTGTGTGTGAGAGAGTGTGTGAGAGAGAGTGTGAGAGAGAGTGTGTGTGTGTGAGAGAGTGTGTGAGAGAGAGTGTGAGAGAGAGTGTGTGTGTGTGAGAGAGTGTGTGAGAGAGAGTGTGAGAGAGAGTGTGTGTGTGTGAGAGAGTGTGTGAGAGAGAGTGTGAGAGAGAGTGTGTGTGTGTGAGAGAGTGTGTGAGAGAGAGTGTGAGAGAGAGTGTGTGTGTGTGAGAGAGTGTGTGAGAGAGAGTGTGAGAGAGAGTGTGTGTGTGTGAGAGAGTGTGTGAGAGAGAGTGTGAGAGAGAGTGTGTGTGTGTGAGAGAGTGTGTGAGAGAGAGTGTGAGAGAGAGTGTGTGTGTGTGAGAGAGTGTGTGAGAGAGAGTGTGAGAGAGAGTGTGTGTGTGTGAGAGAGTGTGTGAGAGAGAGTGTGAGAGAGAGTGTGTGTGTGTGAGAGAGTGTGTGAGAGAGAGTGTGAGAGAGAGTGTGTGTGTGTGAGAGAGTGTGTGAGAGAGAGTGTGAGAGAGAGTGTGTGTGTGTGAGAGAGTGTGTGAGAGAGAGTGTGAGAGAGAGTGTGTGTGTGTGAGAGAGTGTGTGAGAGAGAGTGTGAGAGAGAGTGTGTGTGTGTGAGAGAGTGTGTGAGAGAGAGTGTGAGAGAGAGTGTGTGTGTGTGAGAGAGTGTGTGAGAGAGAGTGTGAGAGAGAGTGTGTGTGTGTGAGAGAGTGTGTGAGAGAGAGTGTGAGAGAGAGTGTGTGTGTGTGAGAGAGTGTGTGAGAGAGAGTGTGAGAGAGAGTGTGTGTGTGTGAGAGAGTGTGTGAGAGAGAGTGTGAGAGAGAGTGTGTGTGTGTGAGAGAGTGTGTGAGAGAGAGTGTGAGAGAGAGTGTGTGTGTGTGAGAGAGTGTGTGAGAGAGAGTGTGAGAGAGAGTGTGTGTGTGTGAGAGAGTGTGTGAGAGAGAGTGTGAGAGAGAGTGTGTGTGTGTGAGAGAGTGTGTGAGAGAGAGTGTGAGAGAGAGTGTGTGTGTGTGAGAGAGTGTGTGAGAGAGTGTGTGTGTGAGAGAGAGAGTGTGTGTGTGTGTGTGTGTGTGTGTGTACCTCTTAGGCCTCTCGTTCAGGCTGGTGCTGCGTGCTCTAAAACTGCTCTGCTCGTGAGTGTCATCGAACGGCAGAAGAGCGTTTGAACGGAGACCCTAATCACACATAAAAACACACTTCACCTCAAGAGCAACAGATCAGCCAGTCTGTAAACACATGAACCCGACAATCCCATCACCCACCTTGGTGATGTACTGAACGAAGTCTTTCCTGAAAGGCAGTCTGCAGCGTATGAACCACATGGCGATCACATGATGGGCGAGAGACACTATGTACTGATTAAACCTACAGAGAATGGAGAGAAAACAAGAAAACATCAGTTAAAATCATTCTGCCTTTGAAATAAAAGTCTCATATGCTCACAGAGGCTGCATTTATTTGATTAAAAATACAGTAAAATCAGTAATATTGTGAAATATTATTACAAATTAAAATAAATGTTTTCTATATGAATATATTTTAAAATGTAATTTATTTCTGTGATCAAAGCTGAATTTTCAGCATCATTTTATTTGAAATAGAAGTCTTTGGTAACATTCTAAATGAACCTCAAGAAGTCAAATATGTAATTAAGAAAAATGCTGGCTACATATACTGTCTGATTACTTAGTGTGTGTGTGTGTGTGTGTGTGTGTGTGTTAGTTCACAGCTGTGTATGAACATACTCACTTTGAGGGGTTGGTGTATGGCAACGATATGGCAAACACGCTAACGTACTGCTCAGCTACAAAGTTAGCATACAGATGTGGGAGCCGCACTAATGCTAAGAGAGAGAGACGAGACAAAAAGCATCAGTACTTGAGCTGTATTTGATCCAGAAGTGTCGTTTTGCGACAGTTGTATTTTAAATGTAGAATGTATACTATATTCTGATTGGTCAGAGTGAGTGAGGCCGTTCTGATTGGTCAGACGGTGAGAATGGGCGGGGGAAACCAAAAAAGGCTTGCACTCACTGGACAGGAACTCCAGCATGGGTGAGGCCATGGCAACGGTTGCCGAGATGTGCGTGAGCTTGACGATGAGGGCGGGCAGGAGTTTGATCATGATGTCGGGCATCTCTACGGTGCACATGGTCAGAGCCACCACACACTGCTTAGCACAGCGGTAAATCAGGCCCTTCTCCAAACACTGAACCAGCTCCCTCTGAGACAGCAGCGAAAAACATGCACAAAAAGCTGTGCTATAAACACATTTATCCAATAAATTCCTAGATGCGCATCTGATGATTGGCTACTATCACCTCCTGAACTGTCTGATACGCTGTCACTCCAGAGATCAGACATCTGCTGCCAACTGAATAATAAATTAATACTTAAAAGTAAGAATAAATGAATAAATGAAAAACACATTTATAATAAATACATTTAAATAAATGTACATGTACTTTAAGTGTAAGAATAAATGTAGGTAAATGTTTTCTTACGTTAAATTTAAAAATTACTTCATTATATTTAATAATACACTTTAATTTCATTTAGTTTAAATTTAATAATACATTAAAGTAAATGTATACTTAATTTAAATTTAATAAAAAGTTTAAACATTTGATTTAAATGTAGTAATACATTTAAATATATGTGTACTTTAAATTTAACAATACATTTAAATAAATTCATATTTAATTAATATTTAATTGAAATTTAATAACAAGTTTAAATATGCTTAAATAAATGTATACTTTAAATTTAATAATAAATGTATATTTAATTTTAATTGAATAAATTGAAAAACTTATAATCTAAATGATTTTATTTAATTAAAATTTTATACATTTTATAATTTTAATAAATGTAATAAATTTTACAAATTTAAAGAAATTTATACTTTAAATGTAATAATAAATCTACATAATTGTATACTTCATTTAAATTTAATACATTTTTAAAAATTCATATTTCATTTAAATTTAATAATACTTAAATAACAAATTTAAACTTATTTGATTGAAATATTTAAATAAACATATTATTACATTTGAAGTACACATTTAAATAAATTAAATGTATTAAACATATTTAAACAAATTTAAACAAAAAAATTAAACATATTTAATTTATATTCATATTTAATTAATACATTTATATTTAATTTAAGTGTAATTTTACATTTAAATAATTGTATATTAAATTTAAATGTAATAATACACTTAAATAAATTCACTTAATTTAACTTAAGGTAACATGCAAGTTAACACATGATAAATGTATGAACGAACGAACGCAGTTTTGTTCCTTATTATTTCAAACAGCCTCTAGAGAATGCCTATGATGCTGTGTAGATGGGCTAATCACTAGAGTTTAGAAAACAGCCCAAGCTAAAATTGCTAGCTAAATCTAACAAAACCTTCATCCTCAAAATTAAAAAAAGAGGTGTTCATACTATGCTCTCATTTGGATAGCGAGGTACACGTGTTTGTGTCACCTGTCGGGACTGCTCCAGGTAGCTGTGGTAGGAGGTGAGGGCAGTGAGAACAGGAACCACAGCAAGCTGAACATCAGTGAGGGAGAATCCATCAGGAGTCTTCTTCAAACGCTCCGATATCAGACGGTCTGTCACCTGCACACAAACACACACACTCTCCCACATTAACTTGCTTCCACATCGTTTATTACACTGAGTTCCTGTTGTATAAGTGTGTGTAGAGTTTGTTACCATCGAGCAGAGAGTGGAGCACAGATGATCGATGTTGCACGGTGAGGTCAGGATCAGAACTTTGTACTGAATGGTGCATGACATCTTATCCAGAACCAGCTTCAGAACCTTCCAGTCAGTCTCCTGAAAACCAAACAAAGAGCTGATGTTTCACCTTTCATACCGCGGTAGTTATATTTGCGCACACAGATTGTGTTGCATTAAAACTATATGTTCGAGGAAAGCTAAAACACAGGGTACTGTGCAAAAAATACGGTATATGATTACAGTAAGGGAAGAGCTGTGTGAGATTGTGTACCATCTTCAGGCACTGTAGCAGCACGCTGAAGGCCAGGCTGTAGGGCAGATAGGCAGTGCGAATGGAGGAGGGCGGAGCCACCGGTGTGGGACTTCCTGTCGGCGGCGACACACTTCCTGTTGGCTTCTTATCAGTCACTCTTTTCTCCGACTCCCTGAAAACCAGACATTTGAGATTTAGTCATCTGAATGTTCTCCTTAATAATTTAAACTTAAATTTAAAATGTTTTTATAATTTATTTAAATTTAATAAATTTAGTCAATCTAACTGTCCTTCATAATAGTTTATACTTTTAATTTTATTAATTTTAATAATAAATTAAAATTAATGTTTACTTCACATTTAATTCAAAATGTAAATGCATTTAAAGTTTTAAATGCAATGATACATTTACATTTATTTAAAGTAAATTTAAATAAATGTATATTTCCTTTAATCTTACTTTAATACATTTATATACATTTTAGTTTAATTTAAATTTAATACTACATTTAGTCAATCTCAATATCCTCCTTAATCGTGTATACTTAAATTAATATTGATAATAAATGTAAATAAATTCAGACTTTAATAAATTTAATAAAACAATTTTAATTAAAAATTTTCAAATAAATTTAAATACATTTATACTCTAAATTTGATATCCTTTAACATCCTCCTTAATAAGTGTAGAAAAACAGCACCGAACACACGCTTGTGTTCTTACCCGACTTCACAGTGACAGTATGGGCTGAACCTCAGGACCCCATCTTTATTGGGGACACCCAGACGATGAAGAGAGTCTGCCCTCATCATCAATAACCAATCAAAAACCTGACAAACAAACAATGAGGGAAAACCACAGGGTTACCTTCCTGAAGTCGAGATGATTTGAGAAGGTTGTAATAATGTTGCTATGCGGTTGCTAGGGTGTTCTGAGTGTTTGCTATTGTGTTGCTGACTAACTCGAGCCAAAAGTCTGACCTTGAGGCGTATGGAGCTCCCGATGGCACTGTAGTATTTGTTCTTGTAGTGAAGCTGCAGATGAGAAATCAGGAGCTCGTACACTCGACTGGTGTGACTGGCCGGCAGACTGTACAGTTTACTCTGGAAACAGACACACCATCACTGGAGCTGCTACTGAGAATAATCACGATTACACTGATTAGTCCAGGTATTGTAGTACCTGTAGTATGTCTAGCAGACCCAGTATAGCGGTGCGGACGTCCTCCATGGGCGACTCCACAGACAGCTCTCTCTCTCCCTCCACAGAGCACGTTAACGGACGACTAGCAACCTACAGGAGCACAGGAGCGTGTTACTCACACAAACCAGGTCTCATTCACATATTACGAATGGATACTATGATGGAAACACATTTAATGAATAAACCAATGAATGCACATTTAAATTGCTTCAACAAGTCATGTGACTGAATCATTTGCTCTTAGAGAAAAGGCCTCTGCTGCAGATCGCTAGAAAACACTGCTACTCATTTTAAACAAATAATAAGTTCATACTTCATTTAAACGCATTCATATATTTAATTTAAATTCAATAATAGATCTATATTTAGTAGTGCTGTCAAACGATTAATCGCGATTAATCACATCCAAAATAAAAGTTTGTTTACATAATATATGTGTGTGTACTGTGTATATTATGTATATATAAATACACACACATACAGTATTTATTTAGAAAATATTTGCATGTATATACATTTATATTCTTATATTATATATAAATATATTTAATATATAAACATAATATTTTTTTTTTTAATATATACATGCATGTGTTTGTATTTATATATACATAATAAATATACACAGTACACACTCATATATTATGTAAACAAAAACTTTTAATTTACATTTACATTTAGTCATTTTGCAATTTATATGCGATTAATCGCGATTAATCGTTTGACAGCACTAATATTTATTTATATAAATATATATTTAATTTAATAATACATCTAAATCAAATAATATTTCATTTAAATGTACTAATAAATCTAAATAAATCAATGCTGATATTAAGTATTGATAAAGTTGTACTCAATTTAAATACTTTGTGCATAATAAATTACAATTATACTAATTTAAAATGTAATAATAAATGTAAATAAATCTATACTTAATTAAAATATTATAATACATTAAAATAAAGTTATACTTAATTTAAATGTAATCATAAATGTAAATAAATCAATACTTACATTTAATACTAGTGAATTTTAATGAATCTAGCCTTTAAATTTAATAATACATTTTAATCAGTGTAAAATCATTTATCACATTAATTGAAAATCACATTGGCTTCAACTTCCATTTCCATTTTTATTTTACACCAATTTCCCAGGAAGTGACTATTTTGTTCAAAGGTTGCTGAATTCAAAAACTCTGTATTGCATAAACTGAATCTGCAGCTTGTCATTCTAAAATCTTTTTGCTTTTTTTTTTTAAATCTAATTAAATTCTTGAGAATTATAGTCATCACATTTAACAACTTCATTATTTTTATTACTATTTCACTTGTCAACCACAGGACTACTTAAATGACCTGCAGAAAATCTCGATGTACACTTTCCCGTACGCATGCAAAAATTCAATTTTTTCATTTTAAATTTAAATTTTAAACCGAAGAAAATGGAATGCCTGCGCTTCCGTTAGTGACATCATCGGCGAGCAGCGCTACCTTCTCGATGATGTCGAGCAGGCTGCTGAAGTGGTGCGTGCTGCAGCCCTCGGCGAGATCCACCAGTAGCTGCGTGGCTTGTTTCCTGACGGACAGATCTCGATCTTCAGCGATCTGACCCAGCTGAGGAATCACCACCACCTCGATCAGCTCCTCCTGGTCACAGAGAACACAGACGATCAAGACAAACAGCAGGGACCTCACGAACGTAAGGACATGCATGTTTGGTTTAGAACTGACCTCATAGAGCTGCCGGTTTGTGCTGAGCACGAAGGACAGGATGTGCAGAACCTTGATCCTGATCACAGTACGGCTCTCATTCCTGACACACACGGAAAGAGAGAGATGCTATTCCCAGGGTTTCGTTTCAAATGTGACTTCAGTGAATATGATGAAGTATCCAGACCTGAAGAACTTCTCCATGAGTTTCAGCAGGTTCTGCAGCCATCTGTCTTTAGCCGGCTGGATGGACTGAGCTCTGTAGGAAATCAGTGTCAGCACAGACGCATCCTATCGGACAGACCCAACAACAGCACATCAAACCAAAATAATGCAATTCATTTCAATACATATATACTTCCTTAACATGGAATAATACATTTAGTCAATGTGAATATCCTCATTCATACTTAAATTAATTGTAATTATAAATTTAAATAAATATATACTTCATTTAAATGTAATAATATATTTTAATTTAAATTAAATGTAGTAAGTTTAAATACACGTATACTTTCTTTAAATTAAATAAATTCAATCTGAAAATCCTCTTTAATTTATACTTTTATTTAATTTTAATAATGAATTTAAAGGTATACTTCAATTAAATGTTATAATATATTTTAATAAAAATTTTATAATACATTTAAATAAATGTATATTTTCTATTCAACCTGAAATTCCTTAATTAAATTTTATTTTAATTAAATTACATTTTAATAATGAATTTAAATAAATGTACATTTTAATTTGTCAAAATTAATCAAAATACATTTAAACATATTTAAACTTTCTGAATATCCTCCTTAATTTACACTTAATTTAATTTTAATAATGCATTTAAACAAATCTATACTTGATTTAAATTTAATAATACATTTTAATGTAATTTAAATGTATTAATAAATTGAAATATATTTTGTTTAAATTTAATAATACATTTCTGAATATCCTCCTTAATTTAGCAACAAATTACGTCAGTCTGAATAGCCTTAATTTATACTTATACTATAATAAATTCAAGTAAATATATACTTAATTTTAATTTAATAACACATTTTAATTTAGTTAAACTTTTAAATAAATGAATACATTCAACAACAGTCAATCAAACCAGACGGCTTCAGAAGAGGTCAGACGGACAGAGAGCGAGCGAGCGAGTGAAACTCACAGGGCGTTTATCAGCACACTTCTCCACCAGACTGAAGAATCTCTGCGAGGATCCGTGGAAGTCGCTCTGCTCGTACAGCTCCTCGACGGTGCTCAGTAACTCATAAACAATCACCTTCAGATCAGGACTGCCCATCGTCTGAGTGCACACACGACATGTATGAAGAGCATCAGGATATAAACAATGACAAAACATCTCAGTGTGTGTGTGTGTGTGTGTGTGCGTGTGTCTGTCTGAGCATGTGGGCTGCGATTACAGCTCTAGTTTTTTTCTGTCTTGTCTTTAATCTTACTAAATGTATCTGCTTGTGCTCTTCTTCAGTCAAGATTAATGCTTTCTGACATGTTTAAGAGAAATATAGCTACTAGTGTATCATGTATATTTTTGCATGTGTGGAACGCTGTATTAACCAATTAGCATCAAGCACAAGATCAATCTGATCTGTTGATAACTTATATTTTGTCTTATTGTGTGTGTGTGTGTGTGTGTGTACCTGTATCTGCTGCAGGAGTCTCTCTATGATGGACAGCAGGATGTCCCACGTCACGACCTGCAGCTCTCTGCCGTACTTCTTGATGAGTCGCGTGATCGACAGCACAATCTCATAGGACACCACCTCATTAGCACAGCTCATGGCCTGGGCACAGAGGTCAGAGGTCAAACACTAGTAAGTCTCATAATATATATAAAAACACAGACTGGAGGCAGATTTGCAGACACCTTGCAGAAGGAAGGCAGGACCAGTGTGGGCGTGTTTTTGAGGGCAGGAAGTCTGTGAGCTCCCCACAGCGCCATCCCAACAAAAAACACAGCACCCCTGAGAAGAGCGGCATCCTCACTGTACACCCTACACCAGACACACACACACACTACTGAGATCACTAGAGCTGACAACATTACAACAATTCAGCTGTTCATAACAACACTAATGATATTTCACAACTCTCAATCCTAATCTCAATACAAAAGCAAAAAAATTGTTAGAGAAAATCTGCCTTTAAAGGTTAAATATTTATTGAAATATAAACATATTAAACATATTAATGTTTTTTTACATTATAAAAAAGTAATTTATTATTGTCATTGTTATTATACATATATATA